AATCCCCGCCGCCCCCCCCCCCCCCCCGGCCCTTTCAGTTTAGCTAACTGTTACCTATTTAACAGAACGTGAAAGCAAAAACTGCAACAAGAACTGCTGGAGAACGTTTTTCAAAAAAAATAATGGGCAAAATTACTAAGAGCTTTATTTAAGCTGCCATCTCCCTTGGTGCTGGGAAGTGCTCGTGTGTGACCAGGAGCTCTTAGTTGCTACTGGGACACAAGTAATGAGCAGCAATATCACAGGCATCCTCACTTTAGCCAAGACTAGACAGAATCTGCCATCACAGTGTGGGTTTTTGGCCCCCTGCCCTCCTGTTCACTCGCTGCACTGAGGTTACAGGCAGCAGAGACCCCCCCCCCGGGTGCACCCATGGCCTTCCCAGCACCCCCTCCGGAAGGAGGGGAGCAGGGTGCTCCGGCAGCCAAACGTTTGCAGAGCAGGTGGGAAAGCTGTAATCTCCAGGCATGCTTTTAGGGGCAGAGAGGGGAATATCTGATCATAAATACTAAATCCGAGGTGTCACAGGCAACATTTAAGCCCTTTTGCCCTGAGGATGAGGGCAGCCTGCGCCCAGCTCCCTCACCACCCCCGATGAGGTAGGGACCATCTATCCATCACTGCCACTTTTCTTTCTAGGGGAGACAGAAAGCGCACTGCAGGGTTTGGGGCTTATTAACTACCTCCAGGGGCACTCCTGCAGGAATGTTCCTCATTCAGCCTAGGGGAAGGATGCTGAGACACCCCCCCCCGCCATGTTTCCTTTGGTCACGGTATTGTCCCCCCAAGTGCAAAGGCTGCTTTGCCTCGGGGCGAGCTTGCACACCTCCAGAGAGAGGGGCATAATGCTGAGTCTGGCTCCTCTTTCTTTTTGCATTTGTCCCAGTTACAGCAAATACTTGTGTGCCCTACAACCACATCAGCGATTTCACCCGCATCCCATACATTTCACTCAGGGAATTTTTTTCCTTAAGGGGGTGAAAAAAATTCTAAACAAAATGGTGTTTGGAAACTTGGGTGGAGGGGGAAGGTCGATAATTTTGGCGGTCTTAGCCCCTGAGCAGAGAGAAATGTTATTCATCCATGCACAACATATAATTCAGCCTAAGTGACAGGCTCTGCTCTGGAGAAATCCTGGCCTGAGCTGGCTTCCAGAGTCAATTACTGCTTATTCCCAGGGAGGCGGGGGGCGGGGGGCCAGACAGAGCAGAGGGGGCTGCCAACAAGGCATGGGGAAATTTACTCTGTGTCAGCCTGCATGACACAGTACCTCATTTGTGGATAAATGTAAATCTGCTAGTTCTTTTTCACAGGCACTAAAATGTACAGTCTCTCCTCCCCCTTCCCTCCCCCTGTTCCCAAAACTGGAAAAGAAATCAGGACCATCTTAGAAAGCTACCTTATATTTCAATCAATCCTCTTTCATAAAAGTCATTTAAGGTAAATACCTGTGCAGACCTACAGCCCAACTATAACATTTACTATGGCCCAAATCCTGAATTCCTCACTTGGGCAAGTTTCCCATTGAAGTTAATGGATTTTTGCTTGAAAAAGGGCTGAGTAAAACCTGAACACTGTCTAAGGATTTGGTCCCCTGCTTATCTGCCTGGAGCACTGCTGCAGTTCCAGAAGTAGTGAAAAAATGAATTAAATTCCTCCAAAATACCAATTCCTCAAAACTTAAGGGGTAAAAAAAGGGCATTGTTTTTGTGCATAAAACGTACAGAGAATCTCATCAAAAGAAGAGTAATTCCCAGGGAAAAGATTTGGAAAAAGTCAGAAGAGAACATCTCGGAATAAATGAAGTACTTATTGCTGAAAAATGAGCTCAGGTATATCTCAGCAAACTCTAAAGCTCAGACTTTACTGCATCATTCACGCCTTCTCCAGTAAGTTTCTTATCTCTCGTTTGGTATCACAACAAGGGATTCTGCATACTCTGTATGAAATACAACAAGACTGTGATTTTTGCAGTAATAAACTCTACACATGCATGACAAATCCAAGCATGCAAAATGTTTAACATCCCAGTTCACAGATACTTTGGGGACAAAATCCGATTATGAGTTATATGCCACAATAAATAGGGCTCAACGTTTCATAAAGCAATTTATAGTTCATAAAAATGACAAAATGTACCTGTCAGATAGAACGCGGAGAGCAGATCTCTGTGCTGCCTGCTGGAAGAAAGGGCAGAGATGTTTATTTTATATTCTGACTTGAAAATTACGAGCACAATCAACACTTTAAAAAATGCGTTACACACATTTTTGTCACGTGTCCAAAATGTTAAAGTACGAGCAAAGTAGCAGAGAGTCTATAGTCAAATGGACATTCCAGCCTAGTAAATGTAAGAACACTTTGTTAAGTATGCCATAAACCAGAAGATTGTCAAAGCACCGCACGGTATTTGAGGTCTGAACTACTCTAGATGATTTTTTCTGCGGGTCCCTGAAAACTCAGCAGGGCTCGGTTCTCTGCCTTCCCCTCTCCCCGTTTCCACACTCCCACTCCCTCTCCTTTACCATTAGTCTCCTCCCATTCTTCCACAGAAACAAACATCACGTATTTGGTTCCTTTTGCGATGAAACCCGTAGCTATAAATATAAATTTTGCAAAGCTTGCCAGAGCTGCTGCAGACTTTTCATGAGCGCTGCCACGTTAATCTGCTGGCAACTTTTGACTACACAGTACAGGATTGACCTGTTGCTGGTTTGCTCCTCAGTTTTTGCCTAGTACAACACTTTGGATGGGGTGGGGAAGCATGGTGCTTGTTCTTGTGTTAACCAGCAGGTCTGGGAATAGAAATTGTAGCCTCTCAAGTTTAATAGGACTCCCAAGCCTATCCCTGAGCTAGTTTGCCACTTTATTATTATTATTCTTTCCCCTCCTTCAATCACTTCAAGTGGTGTGATTCATGGCTTTGGCACAGTAACCAGCTGCTAAGCAAAGATGAAATCCATAATGTTTTGAAAATCTACTTTAAAGCCTCCATTCTACTTGGAGCTGCCCAGTGCGTCACCTTCCCAGCCGTACCTGTCCAGGCTGTGCCTCACCTGGCACAGAAGGCACACAAGGCTAAGCAGTATGGACAGTCAAGGGGCAGGGAATTCAACATCAATTTTCTCTTTGCAGTTACCAGTAAATATGTTTTGAAACCATTCTCCCTGGCTTCTCAGGCTGCTGGGGGCTGCATCCCCATCCCTGGACAAGCCACATGGCTTGCAGGTATGCCGTGCAGCACCAGAGAGCATGGAGGTAACCCTTCTGGCTAGTCAAAATGCTGCTGACAGGCTGCAAAGAAAAACTTGATAAAACCTGACTTGCAGTTGCAGTTATGGAGCATTTCACAGAAAGGTGTGAAACGATCCCCTGAGCAGATCGCTGCAGATCTGAAAGGAGTACAGAAACACTTTGGAAAGAGTTTCTACTTGATTTTGGAAGCAGGATTTCTGAACTTTCTGGAATAACTTGTGCCTCCTGGGTTCCCTGGGAAGTAGTTTCCCGTGTATCACACACCAAATTGTCAGCAGACAAGGTGGCATGTCTCGCAGGAGGGTTTTTCTCCTCCAGTGTTGACTTTCTGCAGTGGGCAAAGAACCCGTGGGAAGGGCTGGGAAAGTCTCAGCAGCTCAGTGAGAGTATGCCCATGGCATGAACATGCTGGGTTTAGTGTTAGAAAAATAATATGGACAGTCTTGATATTTTTTACTGTCTCCAGTACGTCATTCTATTTGCATGCCCTTTGGATACAGTGCCATCCAGGCCACTGGGTACGGGGCAGGCTTTAAGGGGAGCAGCCGCTCTCCGGTCCAGTGGGCTGGCACCATTTTTATTCTTTCCTCTGCAAGGGGCTCGTTATGACAATTTCATCCCACTTCTTGCACACAAATGCAGGAGAGACCCAACCCTTGGGTTTAAGAATGTCTTACGGCTTAATCTCCTCTTTAATGCCCCAGGCCAACACAAGTTCATCTCCTCCCATGCCTGATCACCCTCACTAGCAGGAAGGTATGTCCATTTTGAGTTTCAAGCTGCCCAGCTTCAATGCTGAGGCCTGCGCCCTGTTATGCCTTTGCCTGCAAAACTCAGGAGCCTCCTCTCACTATCAGAGCCCTTTTCCATGGCCAAGTTGTGTAGACACCATTCAGGTCACCTCTCCTTCTCTCCCACCAGCAGCCAGGGCTAGTCTTTCCCTCAGAAGCAGCCACTACATGGCAGTGCTGTTCAAGCCACTTCTAAAGTTTCCCGCCCTTGGCTCAGGTCACCACAAGTGCTCATGTGGTTGCGCAATTCAACAGGTTGGAAAACTGATCCAGCTGAAAAATAACACTTTTCCTTCTTTTTTTTTTCCTTCTTTTTTTCTTTTCTTTCTTTTTCCCCAGGTTCTTTGTAACCTGGGTCCCTTTTCTGAGCTGCTTCCCCAGGGAGAGGGTGTCACATCGCAGGATGCAGTGTGAGAATGGGAACGGGACCGTGAGGGCAGCACGCAGCAGAGACCTTTGCTGCTAAGATAAGGGCATGTCCACCAGTGACATGTTACTTTCACCCGCCATCGCTCTCATTCCCTTCTGGGGAGCTGCAGAGCACTCCTGGAGCAGGATAACATGGTGGCTGCAGTAGCCAGAAGGCAGTGAAGGAGACAAGCTGCTCTGTAGCCACAGGCCTCATGGACCTTATAGAGACCTCAAGAAAGAAAACATGGACTTTGGTGACACTAAGCCCATAACATGGGGATGTGGGGTACATATCACTCTTGTATTTCCCTAAAATCCCTAATTTTGAGAGAAGGAGAAGACCTGGATACTTTCTCTTCCAGTCTTGATGAAAGCTGCCTTCAAGAGGGAAGAGAAAAGGACTCTTGCCTTGACCTGTTTGGTGTGGTAACCCAGCCAGGCCATGTGGTGCCGGACCGTAGCCGCAAGCGCCAATCTTCAGTTTCCATCTTGGTACACCCAGTTGCTGACAGCTTTGAAAAGGTGATCCCTTCTGGGCAAGAAAGTGGGTTCAGATGACAGGCAGGGCAGCAGAGAGAAATGTACAAGTGCTTTTCAGTGAGATCATTCTACTTTTTCAATTAGCCTCTCATTTTAAGCCCTTTAATAAACATCCTTCTTCGGACGCAATGCAGATCGCATGGGGTACTTCACTCTTTGCTTGGTGGTCGCACATTCTGTAAATAAGACTATTGATTTTTTTCTTACACTGTGAAAATACAACTGTGTTTGATTGCATATTTGTGTGACCCCCTAAGTTGGTAATGGCCCCATTTCTAAATGATGGGGGAATAAGATCCAGTCACAAGTTTATTCTTCCTCCCTGGAGAAACAAATCTATTGCCTGCAATGAAAGGCAGTTAGCAGCTATCCGGCAATTTTAATTCGAGCCTATATTGCTCCCCTCTCCTAGAGAAAGTGAGCTGTTGTAATTAAAGGTAGTTAGCAGTTCCCTAGCAAGTATAAATACTTGCAGCCACTAATTACAGTCTGCTCTCTTGTTCCCCTGCTAGAGGACTGGGCTGCTCAACTTAGGGGGAAATATCTGCCCTTGCTTCTCGCTAACAGTTTTTTTGTGACCCCATTCAAACTTATTCTTGGATCCCCAAGGAGGGTCATGACCCACAGTTCGAGAAACTCCCAGCTATGGAAACAGCTTTCTGTGATTTATTATGTTTCTAATATGCTGGTATTATGTATGTAACAATGTAAGCAAAAGGGTGGTACTTAGTATCATATACTGCCTGCATGACTATTTTTTTAATAGCTTGATTTTGATTGTGCTATTTAATTTGCATTTTATTTTACATCGCTAACAACTTTACTGAGGCCAAGTAGTCATCCATCAAGAAAGACGAGAATATGTTCTACAGTCTTTATTATTCCCGAAAGTGAGTATGCTGGTTATAGAAATTAGGGATAAGAAATAATTTTGAAGTTTGATATTGCTGATGGAATTTAAAGATCTCCAAGATTTACCACTAAAAAGTGCTTTATGGGAAGCTTAATATTCTCTTGATAAGTGACTGAGCGTGTTCACCAGTAATGAGTATAATCCTGAATTTTCAGTTCTTGGAATCAGTGGGGTTACTGCTGGAGGAAGGTTCTCCTCCATATGAACACGGACATTGGAGGCCAGCCCACCACATAATAACTTTAATGCTGAGTAGGAAGCAGGGAAGGGAAAAAAAAAATCACTTAGGTGACTCAGGTACATGGGCTAGAGGAACCAGCCACAGTAAATGAGATGAATTACTCTGTTTCACTACATCAAGAGTTGCAAGGCTGGTTAGACTTCTTCGACCCCCATCTGAGTTGGTTACAGATACATTTAAGGCACAGTTTCATTGATCTGCCTATAGTTCATTAATCATTCACGAAAGATTCTAGCTGTACCCCAAGACTACTGGGACAAAACAAGTTTTCAGCCAGCAGTAATCATGTTCAGGTTCTCAATCTCCAGAGATTGCATCTCCTTTCTCCATCCTTTATTGCAATGAGCTAGAGCTTGGGAACATAATCAGCAGATATTCAGGTTTCAGCGTGTGTTAAATGAGCTACCAAAATTACTTGAAGTGTCACAAGTTGCAATCTGTTGTTGAAGGGAAATCAAAGAGGAAATTAAATACTTTCATTGTAATTGGGACTGAGCAGTGAGCTAGTTCATTGTAATTGGGACTGAGCAGTGAGCAGAACGGGTTGAATACAGCTATTGAGCTGGAGACACAGGACTGTTAGGAGTGGTCCCCAGAAATCCGCACCTCCCCCCCTTTTTTTTCCTTTTCTTTTTTAAATCTGTTTGGAACAGAATTGCTTCATAAACTGCTGGGCTTGCAAGCGTTTTTGGATAAGAAGCAAATGAGAACTACCTAACAATGTTCTGATGGGCTTGGAAGAGTGTCTTGGAGGCACTGCAGGCTGAGTGTGGATGCATTTTCCTATACCTCACCCACAGCACACTTTGGCAAATAAAAGCCAATGAATTGACCATTGGCAGATTCAGACATTTTGCTTTCCATTTTTCCTGTCCTGTGGATTAATTGCTGTTATCACGAGAGAGCTCAGTTACAGCAATTGTATGGAGTTACACCAGTTATACCAGAGACTTCACTGAGATGGCGCAGGTGTACACAAGGTGAGAATTTGAACCATTTCTTTGGTGAAATGTATGTACTACCTGTGCA